ACGAGAAAGACGTATATATGATTGTCTTCCAGTGATGCCAACAATCCTCCATGATTATTTCAAGGGCTGCTATTGACGAATTCGAATTAGCTTATGTGCTCCTTTTATTTTATTTTGTTTTTTTAAGATATTAGAGATATTATGTGGCTTATTAGGAATCAGTAGCTGTAATCTCATTAAAGAATAGAGGAATTATTTCTAATTCCTCCAGAAATGCATAAATATGTAGATATACAGGCTACCTCATTTACTGTATTGATAGCTATTTTTTAGTAAAAGCTAAAATCAAAGAATTATAAAGGCGAATTCATTTTGATACATAAGATCGGTTATCATCACTCCCTAAAGATTCATCACGACCCAATAAGATAACCGAAGGAAGCCCCTAATCCTAAGGCGTACAGAAAAAGAACACATGATGAAATCTGTCAGGCCAGCCCCCACAGGCATTAGCCAAGATCAATTCAGTCGTCACGATCACATTCAAAAAGTAAAAAAGGAGGAGTAGCCATTGAAACAGGAAAATTACGGATCGGAGCCAGCGAGCATATCTCGGCAGTACTACAACTAGAAAACACCCCCAAAAGTCCGTCTTGGATGGAAGGAAACAAAGAATGGCATAAGGCAGGCTAAATATGAGACAAAGTCATAACCACTAAGGGATAGGGTCTGACAGCTAAAAACTGAGAAATAAGAGGGGTTACATATACCCGCTACCCAAAAAAGTGAGTCAAATGAGGAAGCTAAAAAAAAGTACACCAAAAAGGTTATAAAAGAAAAAGAAGAAGCAAATTAAGGCCTTAAAGCAAATAAAACAACCGTAGGGAAACATGCCTAGAGGTAGAACAACCGAATGAGCACCGAAACATTAAGCCGAAGAATTATGACAACGACTAATAGAAGGCGAGAAAAGAAGAGAACAACCCACGAGACGGAGCCTAGCAGGCAAAGTATGGACACTAAGGCTTCCCACGTGTATAATAAATGGTGACGCGTAAATATTAAGGGAGGAAGGGTACATTCGCAACAGGAAAAACCCAGTAGAGGAAAATCAGCGTAACAACTACAAAATAGATCCTAGAGCTGAACCATGACAAGTAAATAATGGAGGGACAACTCTAAACTGTCAATCAGAAGCCTAAAAATATCCCCAATAGGACGAAAGCCAGGCGGACTAACAACTCTCATCACCAACAACAACTCTGAGAAAATAAGGCCAGACAGCAAGTCCCTAAATTCTAACTGCGAGAAACTACAACATGCTCCCTGATCCCTAAACACTAAATGCAGAAAACTCTTCCATAAAGGGTAAAGCATATACCAACATCACTAAGAAATAGGAACTAATAAGTAAAGCCAGGGCAAAATCAAGCCCCAACACCCCAGCTCACTGATCAATAGACAAACATCATAAGGGACATCCGCCTAAAGAAGACAAATACCAACCGGACAGTAACTCAAAAAAATGTCACAACAACCCCCCTCGTAGCCCCCCAATCCGGAGGAACTCCCCACTGAGCAACAGCGGATACACCCTAAAACTGCAAATCAACACCAATGCCCACTAACGAGCAAGGAATAATCAATAGGAAAGCAAAACAGCCCCTTAACACAGAGTCTATAAAATCTGATTCCCTAACAGCACCACTCTAACCCCTGGACAGGGACCCGTACATGTAGTCCCTAGATCTAGATGCGTGAACTCCCAAAGATAAAGATTAACACCCAAAAAGCAAAAAACCAACCCGCCATTCCGGGGTCAGATCCAACAACATAGACTTTAGCCAAGGCAACAAATAGGACAAATCAGTCGAATCCGAAGCCCAACGCCTAAGCCTAGGACGAAAAAATCCAAAACAAAAGAGCAGCAAGATAGAGCAAGAACCAGCTGAGATGAAAATTAAAAACTGACCCATGAGCATAAGGCCCAAAATCGTCAAAAATAAAAGATGACCAAAAAGACAAGGAATATGCAACAACAAAAAACTCCACAACTCCTAGGCCATGCCCCCTAGCAGATAACCCCTCGAATGTGAATCTTAAAACATGGACCAATACGCCCTAGGACCTCCTCAGTAATCGGTGAGAGGTCAAAAATCCACTAGGGACCGTGCAACCTACGGCCTAAAAACTGAGGACCTGGAAAATCATCAACCAACGCAGCCAACTAGATTTCAAACACTAAAAAATGGACCCTGGAGCCTGAAGCCTAAAGTTGAAACCTAAGCCGTGGAATCTAGACACTGAACCATCAAACTAGACACTAAACCCTAAAGCTAACCACTGAAGAGTAACCTCTCAAACCACCCTCTAGCCCCTAAAAAATGCTTCATAACTCCTGGACCGTAACGCTAATCCCACCCCCCTAAAACCACAAGACACGAACTAATTCCTGACGACTGAGGACTGAACAACAAGAGATCACCCCTAGCACCTCACAACTAGCAACTAAGCTCCCCCCCCCATGACCCTAGACCCATGGAACCTGAGCAGCTGATCACTAAACCCTAGATCCTGAACCCTACACACACCCCCTGAACCCACAACACTGACGTCTAGACAAAAAACCCTGACCACTGAAGGTAACTCACATCCCTACCCCCTGGAACCTAATGCGAATGTCTGAACAATAGAGCCAAACATAAACCCTGACACCTGGCCCCTCAACCGTGATACCTCAGCCAGCCACTAATCACTAATCCCTGAACCTAGAACGTAGGACTACGACATGAAACATAAGACTAAGCCCTGAACAATAAACCTAAGTCAAAAGCTAATCACTAAGACCTGAACCTAACCTATGATCCTCTAAAACCGGACCATAGCAAAAAACCCACCACATCAAGCATGGACCATGACGCCTACAAGGTGAAACAGACGCCTAGAGAATGGTCCCTAAGCGTGATTTCTATACACTGACCCATGGGGCCTAAAATCTACAAGTAATCAGTAGGCCATAACACCTGCCCCCTGCCCCTTAAACAATGACCCCTAAAGCTAAGACCTAATCATACAACCTGACCACCTGAAAGCTAAGAACCTGAATCCACCAAAGCCTGAAGCTAATCCCTGGAAACAAAACCCTGAGGAATAGACGCCAGAACCTGACACACCAAACCCTAAACCATAAACCCATAAAACCTAAACCCTAAACCTAAACGGATAATCCTGAACCCTAAACCCTCACCCCTTAACCCTAACACCTGAACCCTAAACCCTCACCCCTTAACGCTAACACCTGAACACTAAACCCTTAACCCTGAACCCTGAACCTTAAATCCTAAAAATTAACCCATAAACCTAACCCCAAACCTAAACCCTAAACCAAAACCCCGACTCCGTAATCTCTGAATCCTAAAAATTAACCCATAAACCTAACCCCAAACCTAAACCCTAAACCGAAACCCCGACACCGTAATCTCTGAATCCTAGACTTAAACCCCGAAACCTAAACCTAAACTCTACAGCAACAAGCAGATGAGAAACCATAAAAATTTACGATTCCCTCGCCAACTGTTACGGACTCAGTCTAAGTTTTATACAACAACCGAAATATTGACCCGTTAAAATCTTCCTCCAGGTGTAATTCCCTTGGGTCACAACCAAGAATTCAGGGGGGTATCTCTCCTCGAGAATTTAAATCTCACACTCGGCCTTAAGAACTCCGTGTCACCGGTCATGGCGGCCTATGACCTTTCTGAGATGTCTTAAACTCTGGAGTCATAAGATGCTAACGCTAAGTCACAGTGGGGTCATCTCAATCTGCGAGTGGACTTGGCCTTTGCCTATGGGACTTTGACTGCTATGGTATCTTCAGAAAGTGACGCTAATAACTCAAAAGGATTGCTCTCCAGACCAAAGTCTTCCTTCTATGGTTTTGTCTAAAGGAGAATATCCAACTGGGACTCTTGTCCTCCACAACCTCTTGGAGGTCCTTTGGTTGGTATATCTCGTTATCCTCCATGTCCCATAAAATCCTAACACTCCCAAGATTATAGCGGCAATAACTCCCCCAATCATCCTTGGCAAGTTGTTAGCCTTCGCTGCTGCCCAGCCTTTATCAGGGTTTTCTTCTGTTGACTCCTTTGCCCAGCTTCCTTTATCAACATTTTCAGCGGCTGCGGCCGCTTGGGTATTTTCCTGTTTGGACGGCTCGTTCTGAGCTTTGACAGATCCTTGGCCCCCTGGGATTGGGTCTCTTCTCTGTAATTCCCCTATCTTCGCTGGGGCTGCCCCCCTCCTACTGACGGTTCCCGTTAAGTATTCCTTTAGTTGGCTTTCTTGTTGATCCTGTTGTTGTTTCTGGTTACTGCTGTCGGAGGGTACGATGTGGTCCCATACGATGCCGGAGTTATGCGGCCCCGGATGGGCGCCGTTGCTGGGGAGTGGACGGGTTTGTGCGGTAGCAAATTGTGGCTGTTCTTCTGGTTGGTTCATAACTAACCTGTGTTGAGTCTTACAGATATTTGATATAATTTCCTTGTTAGGTTGATATACTAAATATGCTCTTTCGCCGTTTAGTCTTGATAATTGGGGGTCACACTTTAATCTGTCCTTTTCCAATATACAATATAACCTTTTCCGCTTAGAAGATCCTCCGATGCCTTCCTTGATCCATCGGTTCATGTGATATGGTCCACATTTGGGACATAAGGTCTTTAGAGCTCCATAAAGACTCAAGACTAGTGTAATCTTCCCTGTTTCGATTTTGTTCCTCCTCTCTTCCTCTTGGCCTAATTCACAAAATTCTCGAGACTTGCTGGACTCGTCCGTTAGCCACGTCCCCCATTGAGACTCTTTCAGTTTTATGTGATTTAACAGCCGCTGACATGCTTCCGGAAGTTGTGTTTGGTTGCCAGAATTTTCGGTTTCGCCTTCACTCCATATTCCTATCATGCAGGTCAGGGCCCCCATCCACTCGTTTGAGATGCTTGACCCTTGGCATAATCTGCCTGAGATGAGTTTGCCCCAGTTAGGAACCTGTGCATAACCCCCCTTCTCTTGGATCTCTCGCTGGGGTGAGTTTAGGGGCATTATCTTAGGGACTCTTTCCATTGCTTGTAGCACGTCTGTCACCAGTTGGTGCCACGTCTCCACTTCGAGGGGGCTGCCCTTATGCGAGCAGTCTTTTAGGGGGTTCTGTGTCCTCTTGTTCTCATATAGCTTGCCTAAATCCGCCGCGTTACTATTGGTCATGTAGTCATCTAACCATCCTATGAATACACTAGCGGCCTCCTTGGCTCCTTCTTCTATATCTTCAGACGACTTGTTTGCTTGTTCGCAGAATTGTTCGATACTTCCTACCCCAACCCTTAACCAAACCCCCTCCTTCCACCTACATACTGTCAGTGCCATCCTCCTCCAGCCCGATCGCTGCTCCTAGATCGCTCTTCTGCAGTTTTCTTCCCTGCAATTTTATCTCCCTCGTGGGTGTTCCCTTTTCTAGTGTTCCTTTGTTCCTCTCTAAGGACTTGTCCTTCTCTAGTCTGATTGAGGCGCCTCTGAGCTGCTTCTAAGAGACTGAGTCCAGACTGGATTGCCCGTTTACAGGGTTGAGCCTGCCTCCCTGTCTCTTGATCCTGGGGCATGCGCTCTGTCGGACCTTCGGTTCTGTCCCTCATAATCTCGATCCTCTCCCTTGTTCGTACGTGACGCGAAGGCTCTGGGGCCTTATTTCTTGGACCATACCATCTACCAGTTCCCTGTTCCTTTTTCTCGCTCCTTCTCATTAGTTGTTCGTATGAGGCGTCTGCTTCTCTCTTTCGCGCGATCTTCTTTACTTCCCCTGTGTTGCGGTTAGGTGCCCCGTTTCGTAGTTGTGGAGGGTACTCCGGTGAGTCTTATTGTTTAGCTCCTGTTGCCTCCGATAATGGGTGGGGCCTTTAAGGTATTTACCCCAGCCCCGCCCCCTTTCGTGTCCCCTCCTCAAAACTTACGTCCCTCTGCTTCCCTCTTCCTCTTTCGCATCTGATCAGTTGCTTTTCCTTCTTTCTGTGATTGTTTCTCCTTCCTTGCAAGTCCGGCGACTTCCTCTTTTCACTGTAGGTTCTGAGGTCACAGACGTCGGACTTTCCTAGGGGAGAAGTTCCTTGGTGTCACAACTCTTTCGTCCGGTACGCCGGTTGAGTCAGTATTTGTCTGCTCCTACCTACCTGTACACTTTCCCAGAATTTCTTTTCGACTTGTTCCGGAAATTTATCTTAAGTTGCTTCCTTTGATCCTTATCTCTTCCTCTATCTCTCGCCCCTCCAATTATACTTATCCTCTCTTACTATTTTGCTTCGCGCTTTGAGTCGAATTGCCTCTCCCGCCTTTTCCTAGCTGGGCGTTTTCTTCCTTCTTGGCCTATCCCCTCTTCTTAATTGGTCCCCTCAGCGCCTTTTGCCGAAAGATACGTTCTCATGTAGGCCTTCATTGCTTCTCTGGGCTCGAAGTTCTCATGACTCACATTTAGGGAGGAGATGGATCCTTCTGTTAAATCCTCATGGTCCTTACTCATCCTAATTTTTCCGTTTCTCTTCTTCGTCGGGTGCTTGTGAGTTTTCTTTTGCTTCGTCTAGTCGTACTTCTCTTAATCAAAACCATGTACGTCTAGTCTCGCGCGGATCTGAACTTCCGGATGCCCTTCCATTTGGTTGTCCTCCTTTGTCATCTCCCCCTCTCTCCAGATTTGATCTCTTCTCCACAGACGGAATTTATTCCTTTTCTTACTCTCTCGGGGGGTCCCGTTTGTTCATCTCTAATCAGGGGGTGATAGTGTTCCAGAGTCCTGGCCCTGAGAGTTCATATGTCTTGTCGCCTTGGCCTTTCTGTCCCTCTTCCTACTCCTGCCGTTCGTGTTCCTTCATTCGTCCTGGAATCTACCCGTCCAGCTGCTCACTTAGATATTGCTAAAAGATACGGTTAAGCTTTTTGTTCCGGCTCCGTCTTGTCCCTTCCACAGAAACTGTCTTCGACTTCAGCTTTCTGATGTTACGAGTTTTTTCGGGGGCTCCTCTTCGTGAGTCCCATTTCTTATCGTCTGAGACCCGTTTTTCCTATCCTTTTGCTCCTCCCTTCCTACTTGGTCCTGCTCCCTTATTCCGCTTCAATCTTTAGACTCGGATTTAATCTCTCGGCTTGTTGGGAGTGTTTTTCCTGATGCTTCTATTTTGTCAGTCGCTGGCTCTTCCTTGTTCTGGGTTTCTATCCCTTCCAGGTCCATGAGATCCCCCTATCTGTTCCCCTTTTTCTACTCAATGAGCTCACGCTTGGAGCTCCTATTCTTATACTCCATCTGACGCCTCAGATTGGTGTCTTGTTCAGAATTCATTGAAGGGGATCCTTCCCGTTGCGCCCTTTTATCTGTTTCTGTTTACCTGTTCTGGCACCAGGGGGGGCTTCATAGATTGATGCGGTCACCTCTTTTGAGGATGTCCAGAGGGAAAGCCTCTTCGTTCCTTTGATTACGTTCTCCTTCCTCCGCTTCTGCAGACATGTGGATCTATTTATAAGTCCCACGTTCATCTTGGATTGAGGTTCTCCTTCATCTGTTGGGGGCGGTGGGCACCTAGCTCCTTCTCTTTAACCTCCCCTAATTATTGAGTGCCCTACTCCTTGATTTTTAGAGTGACTGGCCTTAGTGGCTTTCAGGAATTCTCTGCCTGTTCTGGTTTGTTCCTTCACGAGAAAATCTTGAGCCTTCAGGTCATCTTCCCTATTCGGCGATTGGTCCTCGCCTTTCTCCGTTTCTATATTGGCTGATGTCCTACTCTAGTTTTTACTTCTTCCTCGCAGGAGGTTTGTTTTTCAGTGATCCTAATGACTTAAGCTTTTTTGATATACTTTCTGTGTTGGTCCTAGTCGGCATCGGGCTTCCTCCCGGCGGATACATTCGTGATTTGAACTTCTCTTGTTCTTAAGCTGAATTTTACTTGGAACTTTTGTCCTGACCCTTCAGATGGTGATTGTCATATTTTCCATTCAACCCTATGCCCGAGTTGTCCTTCTCCGAAGGCTCTACCTTTTCCTGCTGATTCATTTGCCTAGGGTTGGTATTCGTCCGGTCGTTGCTTTTACTTCTGTTGGTTAGGCTTACTCCAGGGGACTGATTACTCGTCCTGTGGGGAATGTATCTCTCATTACCTGACTTTCTCGGTTGGTAGGATCCTTGTTCATCCTGGGTTGTGCTTCGATTTGTTTGGGTCGTAATTAAAACTATTGGGTGGAAAGGGGTTAGTTTTGTCTTGGGCTGTTTCGAGATGTCATCTGCGATTCTTGGATCTGAGTTGGTTTGGTTTAGGCTCCTGCACGAGACTACCTTCTTGGGGTCCTGATATTCGGTCTTTTACCTTTCTGAGACTCGTTCTGATAAAGCCTCCTGATACTTCTCCGAGTCGTGTTTCGATTTCTAGGAGTCCTACGGTCTGATAACACTCAAGGTCCTGTCTCGATAGTCCTCTGGGGGGCACTTTCCCTATGTGATCCTTCTTTTCCCGGTTGTTGGGTGTGTGTTGTTTCTTAGGCTATTACAGAGTCTGATGCTCCTAAGCTAGCTTTGTTCTAGAGGTTCTGTGAGATTTAACGAAGGTCAGCCTCACACTGCACGCTGGCCTAGACTTTTATTAGTTGAGCTTGGGCTTATGTTTGGTGAATGTTCATCTTAGTGATGCTCAGTTGTTGGGTGGATTGGCTCATCATCGTCTTTGGTTGCCTCTTCCTGGCATCACTTGTTTCTCCTTGGCTGACTGTTGGTGTGCTATTGCTTCGATGAGGGGGGTCATCATATGAGACGGTTGTTTTTGTCTTCCAGGAAATTATGAGAGACTCGCTGATTGACTATGCGCTGAGACTCATCTTCAATGCTCGTGGGTTGCACTCCGATTCAGCTGGAGGATCTTCCAGAATCTTCTTGAACTTCCGCCTTCCTTTAGTATCCAGGAAATTTCTCCTGCCCTTATTTGGCTGTCCTTCTATGAAGATATTTACCTGTTGTTCTTAAACTTGCTTCCTGGTGTTTGCTCTATTGTCCTTTTTCTTCTTTCGCTCAAGGGTTCTTATGCTTTGTCTCGTCCATTTACTCATGATCACTTAGAACCATCCTCATGTGGCTTCTGTTGGAATCAGTTGATGAGAGTACTTCATCTTCTTCGGCTGTGATGGTGCCTTTTATTTCATATCTACTTTATTAGAACTTTTTGGGTATTGGCTGGATCTTTCGTCTCCTATATTTTCTTGGATTTTTTTTCTGCTGAAGGCCTGGAGATCGAATGCGGATTTGGGATGTGGGAGGTAATTTCTGGATCCACTTACTGTTTCCTATCTTTTCTATCGCAACAGGAATATTGTCTGGAGGCTCCTTTTTTATCGTTTTTTCTGCACTGGCTGTGGGGCATAATTTTTCATGATCTACTCTGTTTTCTGACATATTTTGGTTTTGAGTATCCTCTGTTGCACTATCGTACTCTTGACACTTCGAGAGTCTCTGGGGGAGGGTTGTGGTGGCTTCTCTTCCTCCTTTCTCATTTGAGCCATCAGAATTACTCAATCTCTGCCTAGCTATACAGTATAATTGTTGATTCTTTTCTTGACTAGGGATTCTCCTCCGATATTATTTGGTTCTTCGTTTTTTAGTCAGATGGGGCGATCTTGGAAGCTAGTGCGGGAACTTTTGTTTTTCCTTAGTTCCGGGAGATTGAGGTTGCTATTCTTGCTTTTTCTTCTATCTTTTGGGGCGGGAGTCTATTCAGTCAGTTTTAGAGGTTAGTACTGATGTATGTGTTGTTCTACTCTTATGGTACTTCTTGATAGGGGTCACGTCGCTCATTAGGTTCGACAAATAGGGGGGGAGTTATCTTCTACTTCTGTTGTTTAGGCTGTAATTCTTGCAGTGTTGCCTTTGGCATTTGCTTTTGCTGTTTTTGGGGGATATGAGCCTTAGATCTGCTGCCTGCGCGATTTTTGATCCTCTTTGTGTCTTTCTGTATTTTCTGTTGAGATGATGCGGAGTTTTGGCTGAGACGGGGTGAGATATTAAATTTGCTGTTATTGTGACACGTGATCTTCTTATTGTGGTGGCAGGTGTAAGACACTACTGCCTTTTCCATCTTTTGGGTTATGAACAATAAATTGACGTTAGATCCTATAATTATTAACCTGATTTTAACCTGATCTCACCTCTTTGGTTTTCAAGAGAGTTTATTTGTGCGGCAGAAGGGGGGACGTATATATCATTTCACTTATTGTTGAAACTTGTCTAATAAGGTGTGACTTATAATTTCATGTTTGACCATTTGGTATCACATATTTGCAGGATCTTTATATCTGCTCATTTTGCCTTGACTGTTAGGAGGCCGCTCCTGAGTTTTAGAGATTTTTAATTTTCTGATAGTCAGATATCTGACACTATTAAGATTATAACGAAAAACTCTTATTTAGTAGGATTGGGGTCCCGAGTTTCTGTGAGTTTACCTAACTTGTCTACTAGTGGTAGCTATGAAAAGACTAAATACTTAGGATAGATAATATATCACCTTGTCATTTTCTTAATTGGTCATTTACTTGGTTTCAATAGGTGACTTGGGTTGATATTACTTATCCTTTATTATTCCCGTTGCTTTTGTGGATTTGGAGGAATATGTACATTTTTTACCTTCCTGATAGTTGATTAAGTTTAAGACCTAGTCCCTTATTACTTATTTTTGAGTTGTCCTGATAGATAAGAATCCTTAACCAGTCCATTTATTCTTCGAGCTCTTTTGGTTGTGTTATATTTAATAGTATGATAGAGATGACGTAGTTTGGCTATTTTGTAGTTGTATATTTTCCTAATCAGACACGTTCGTGAGGAGTATAAATTTTCCTGGTTATCGTTGTTTGAGTTTCTCTATTCGTATTATAATATCGAGAATATTCCATTTGGATATCATTTTCCTTTAGGTTTGTTGTATTGTTCGCCTAATCCTTAATACTATATAGCTTAATTCATAGTTTCCTTGATTATTGGTACTATAATTTCGACTCTTCACCTCTGAAGGACCTTATCCTCTTGGACCTCCTGCACTTTTGAATTCTGTTGGATTTAATAATCAGTCGTTAATATGACAAATAATATAACATATCTTCAGTTTTTTCTTATAGATGTAATAATCATTCTCTTGTTGTTAAATTGCATTCATTGATATCTAGCAGTTATGGAATATATATATTTATCACAAACCCTTAATATAGTATAAGATTAGGCAAAAGGATTATACGGACTAGTTAACATATAAGGTGAAGTGAATTCTGTACACTGGCTGTAAAAACTATTTAACTATTAGAGCCTTTATCCTTAAGTTGTGCTCTATTGCTTCTGTTTAATTATATCTTGAGAACGTAGCATATTCAATAAGAAACCTACAATCTCCCCGGTGTAGAGTTAGTTGTTCTGTCTGTTCATCCAGTTATCCTCAATATATGGACACTTTTTTAGCAGTATGTTTTATCTACCTTAGAGACTTCATAATTACTACGGTATTAGTTACTTAATTTTATCAGTCTCCACACAATCCTATCTAGGGAATATTTAATATTAATATTTTCTGTAGATATCTGTATAAATAACATATGGACT